AGGTGACACGTTAGTAAAGCCGTAGTCTTGCCTGTGTTGCTGATATCACTCTTGGAACTCTGTCAGATACAATGCAAATCTCATAATTTTCTCTTTATAAGACTTTACTCAAGGAGGGAGACTTGGCTTTCTGTTTGCGATAGAAAAAGATAGACGGGATATTTGTATAACAGAAGAATAGTTGGTAGGACGTGGTCATAAGGTGGTTTTGGAGCATTACACTAAGTAAGAACATTGGCCTGCCTGTATTCTTCAGTACCATTGGCCTGTCAAGTGAATTAATAATTGCTGTGTGAAATATAATTAAACTGAGGGTTTTTTAAATGCTGTTATTATTCAATATAAATTTTAACCATCACAGGATTTGAATTATAAGGTGACTGAGTGTTTTGTGGACATGGAAAACTTCTGCCTCCTGGAATCACCATATGCAGGTGTTTCTGTCGTGTTTGAGACTTTTTTTCTTTTCCAGAATCATCTTGCATCTGACAGACTAGTAAATTTTACTCATGTTCTGTGTGTTGATCTCAGATTTCTGTTTAGATCGGCTAAAAGTATATCTTTAGGATCAGGTCTGAACAGTTTTAATTTTATACATTCATTGACTTCTGTAGGACTAATTATATAGTTATTGTTGTGTTTAGATGTTTTTTGGCTTAGACTTGGCTAAAGCATTGCTAGAAAAACTGGCTAGGAAAAGCTGTACATATTATGAGTTTGGAGAACAGATCGGGCTTTTGCGGGGGGGGCAGGTTGTTAATTTTCTTTTCTATCTAGTCTCTAAATAAAATTTTGGAATACTAGTGTTGGGTTTTTGCTTGCTCAATATCATGGATCAGCATATTTTTATGAAAAGTGTTATAACATCAAGATGAGGTTCAAGTGTAAATTTCCCAACTAAGCCTTGTATTTCAGATTCAACATGTAGTGCATGCAAAGTGTCAATATAAAAATGATTGTACTGGATCAAATAAAAGGCCAGTCTGTTCTAGCAGCATGCCTCTGATAGTAAGCAGTAATGAATGCTTAGGGAAAAGCTCAAAACCAAGGCAAACATGATGTTAATACTATTTGACTACCTTACTGCGCACTGCAAGCTGTAACCTGACAGCTTGAGCTTTTTGGTTTTCCTTTTGATCATGGCTTAAATTTATACAAAATACATTCTTACTTCTAATAGCTTCCCCTCCAAACTCTGACCGATTTCCTAAAATTCTTTCCTTCTGAACTTTCAATATATTGTCTTTTAATCGTTGTCTTACAGTCTGTGAAGACTTTACACTTTTTGTTAAAAAGAAACTAAGCTGCAACCAACTTCTTCATATTTTTGTAGTTCCTCTTTTAAATTTAACCTTAGTAATAGTGTACTTCTTACTTTTATTGTTTCTGCAGAGATAGTGAATTGAAATACCCAGTGATTCATGAGCAGTCATGGATAGCGTCTTTTATTTAGTCTTCACATAACACTCCCAGTTTAGAGTTTTCCAGTCTAAACTGGTTAAGCAAAGAATTCCTATAATCTCACTTTTAGAGGAGTTGTCATTTTAAATCATCTGTGGTTCTGCGTTTAGCAGCTTTTCTTGCTTCTTCAGTCTATTAACCCTTACGAAACCATTCTCATTTTAAGTGCAAACAACGTGCTTCCATTGTGATTGAGATGAAGTCTATCTTGTTTATAGAGGAACACTTCCAGAAGTTTCTTCCTTTTTTCTTACAATATTTTCTCAATCATATATTGGGTTATTAGTCTTCAAAAAGTACCTAAATTGCATAAGCTTCACATCTACATTTTATTTAGCATAATAGATGAACTCATCTTATAAACTTTGCTTGTTGTGAAAACATTTCTGGAGTTTCAGTTTGGCTAAAGAATAGCATTACTTGTTTTTAAAAAGCTGTAAGTACATTTGATATATAAATGTTGTGGAAAACTGTATACAGTTGAATCTTTCTGTGTAGAAAGATCTGAACCCCTGGGACTATTCTAATACTGTTTTGAAATGCGTGAATGAAAAATTGCTTGGAAGAGAAGTCATACTATCTTCCAACTCTTTTTTTACCTTTTTTATTTTATTATTGACAGATAGTGGGTATCACTTCCTATTTTAATGGGACCTCTGGCTTTCATAATGGAAAAGTGGAATCCTTGCCCCACAGTGTCCTAAGGCCTTGTTTTCAGGGAAGTGTTATCAACAGTAATATATACCAATTTCACAATATTTGTGTATTTTCTTCTAATGTGAAATTGTATGGTTTTTGTATGAGGGTACATTAAGGGACTTCAACCAGGCTGTGCTAATGTGATTTTTGTCAGGGCAGGCTAGAAACCACAGCTGGTTTTATATTGCCTGTTGAGTACTACAGTCCTGGTCCACTTGTTGTCCAGAGCAGAGAGTTGGTGCACACTATAGTTGTTGTCTGGCCCACCTCTGGGCTTTATTTCTGCAGAAGAAACGGCAAAGCTGTTTTTTAACCTGTGTCTTTCCAAGACATGTGGTTGGGGTATGGCTGGATGCACATACAGCAGCAGAATTTTCATGGTGCTCTTGAATCTTCTAGTTCGGATATAACCTACAGTATTGCTCTTTGGATCAGTGGCAGTAGGGAGGGATTCTGTCACTTGTGTTTTGTGGCCGAGATCTTTGTACTAGCCTTCAGTTATCTTTTCAGCTGTTGATAAAACAAAATCAGGAAGAGCCTTAGAGCTGATTTCTTCAGAATGGGATTGTATCAAAGACTGTCTGTTCGTCACATGGTAGAGGTTGTAGAACTGTGCTGGCAATAACTGTGTGCATCTTTTCTGCACACAGTTATCCCCCTCTGCTGAATATTAGAATGAGAGCGCCTTTGTTTAACCTGAAAAGGGTTTTGTAAAAAATTCTTTCACGTGAAAGCTGCTATTTTTCTATAATGTTTTGCAGATTGATGTGGTAAACAGAAAACAAACCTCATTGTGAAAACTTTCTCAAGCTATGCTAATTTTTTCTTTAATAAGCTTTTTAATTGTATTTGGGATTTTTAGTTTTAGTTAACTTTATTCCATTTTTCATTCACTTCATTGAGAATGCCAGTCCTGCAACATAAATCTTTCCCTTTCTGCCTCTTGCAGCTAAAGTTTGCAGAATTCAGTGTCAGCAGTGGATGTCCTGATCTAAAGGAAGGCTTTGTGATACTTTAGCTTGAGAATGTTTCTTAGAAAAGATGGAATGATGGCGTGACAGCCAGTTAGCTCACAAATTTCACATATTCTAGACTTCGGGAAGCAAAGTTGAGGCTACTTCCAAAAATAATGCCACTGGAAGGTGATGTTTCATTGTACCAGTCCATTTTATTTGATGGGCATCTGCAGCACACTGTGTGGATGGCCTTTCCCACTGCTAGGCACACTGATGACTTGGATTCATCCAGGTTGTGTAGCAGCATCATGTTTTCTTCTCTGCAAAGCTATCTTCTACCCTTTTATCCTCCAGCCCACACTAGTATGAGGAGTTACTCTGCCACAGGTGCGAGTCTTTGCACTTGCCTTTATTAAACTGGATGGGGCATCTGCCAATCGAGGTCACTTTGGCTGCATCCCATCCTTCCAGCATGTGAGCTGCCTCTTCACTCCCTCCAACTTGGTGTTGTCCGTGTACTTCCTGAGGGCACATTCTGTCCTGTTTTCCAGGTTATTGATGAAGATACTAAACGGTATTGATTCCAGTGTTGGCCCCGAGAAATGCTGCTCATAGCTGCTTTGCCAGTTATACTTCAGGCTGTTGAGCTCTCTTCTTTGAGCCTGACGGTGACTTTGAGCCATTTTCTAGTCTGCTTTTTCAGTCTAGTGGAGAAAAAACTGTTTGTTCCAATGATGATGTGGTAGGAGCTGAGCAGAAACAGTTATTTCATGCAAGTGCTAAAAACTGAGAACTAAAGCCTGAAATAGCAAGGAATCTGTATTGCTTCTTTGTTAAAAGAGTTTGTTCAGCATTTCTGAGAAACCACATGCTTTTGAAATATCTTGGGTTGGGAACCAGAATTACTTTCAAAAAAGTAGACAGTCATTTTCAAGTAAATACCTCTTTCTTCCAAGGAAGTTTCATGGACTTTCTATGACACAGGTTTTGGTAATTAACTGGTAATTTCCAGGATTCTTGGGTCACATCCAACTTGAATTTTCTTTCTTTTTTAAGATTTCATATAGTCAGAGATGATATGCATTTTTGTAGTGTGCTGCTTTTTCATATCTTGTGCATGCAGATCTGCATAATGCAGTCATACATTGTCAGAATAACTCTACTTCAAGTATTATGTTTCCATTGTCAAAGATATCTCCTCTTTCTACTCTTAGGCCAGACTAAATTGCATCCTTATTTTTATAGCTAAATACATTTGGCATTGGTCTTTGACTTTATTCTCTTTTTAGCTAAGTTGTAGATGTGTAACTGGAGAATGTCTCAGTTACTGTGCTTGCAATAAAGAATATTTTTAGATGAGATTTGTAGTTCTTTAGCAAAATAAGTAAGTTTTTTTGCAAACTTGATTTTAGCATTGCAGATATTTGTGCAATGAAATTAGATTCTAATGTAGCTGTCAAACAGGAAAAGTAATGTTTATGGTTTTGTACCTTGACTTACTGTTGTGCCTAGAAGTGGAGGGAAAAAACCCAACAGTTGCACAGAAAAAAGACTGATAGAGGAGGGACAATCATAATTGATATTCAGTTGCATTTTAAATGTTCTTAATTATGTAGTGGGTAATATATTTTTGAATTCCTGTCACTTTTCTATTTTCTGTTATAGTTGCATATCAAACAATAATCTTTTAGTATTTTAAGTCTTTTTAGTGTATTAATTATATGCAGTAGCATCTGGTAAAACTGAATTATTTTACACTTCTTGCAACACCTTAATTTTTAGAAGCATGACAAGAATAACAGTGGGTACTTCTATCTCCTCTTACTGCAGGGAAACTTTTTACTAAAAAGGATATTTGGTGTTTTTTTTTTTTTTTGCTTCTAGATCTTTCAAAGAACAGATTTACTGAAATTCCTTCTGATGTCTGGCTGTTTGCACCACTGGAAACTTTAAATTTGTATCACAACTGCATCAAATCCATTCCAGAATCTATTAAAAACCTGCAAATGCTTACCTACCTTAACATTAGGTGAGTAATGCTTGTTATTTTTGGTCTTTATATAACTTACCTCATTGGAGAGGTGGCATTCTACTTCATCAGGTCATTGAGTGCCCTTGTGCCCTCATTTTTGCCCAGATAGATAAAATTATTCTGTTGTTTGTTTGCCTTATCCTTGGTGTATTAGGGCCAGCAGTTGTTGCTTCCTTTGTGGGAAAGAATTAATTGCATTATGAAACTTCAGTCAGTAAACTAGGGTAGCTGAGGATAAGGAGAGTTTACAAAGTTTACTTTGTTTTTAATGTTACGCAGACAGACAATGTTTAGAAACTACACACGTAAAACTCTGCTGCTCTCAAGAGGGTACATTACTTTGTTCAGAAGGCCCTACTCATTTTGCACATTATTTACATGCATTGCTGTATTGCTGTTCTTAAACTTGGAAAACATACGGTTGGGTCTTCTCAGAAGAAGAGAAGATTAATATGAGCTCTGGAAGGAGAGGGAATCTAGAAGAACCCTCCCATAAAGAGCTGAGACCCTGTTTTCCATAATATTCCTTGTTTCTTATATTGACTACATAAAGTCCAAAACAGTCTTCTCAGCTAGGAGCTATTTAACATGTGAGATTTGGTTCCAGAATTTATTTTGAAAAAAATCTGTGAATTGATCCTTGGAAAAGAAAAAAGTGGTGGTGGTGAACCAACCCCAACAACCCTACCCCCCCCACTCCCCAAACAAAAAAACCAACAAAACCAAAACCAACTGTCTCGAAATCTGCAAATACCAGTACTTACAGTGATAATTTAAGAGTAATTTTCTGAAAGAAATTTGACCTAACTTTCTTCACAGAGCAGCAACAGCCCATTTCTCTTTTGATGGTGATTGAGGTGCTGAATATAATTCCTTACACAGAAATAAAGTAGCGTGTAGTTCTAACTGGGTGTTGCATGTTCTTTCAAGAGTCGACTTTTCTAATCATCATTTGCCTTACTGTGCTTTGTCTTCATTTTTGTGCTAATGTCTGAGGACTGTTTTCACAATGCATGAACATGTGGACTACAGTAGTTGAAGAACAGGCTAAAATCCTGGCTTACTAGTTTCAATATTTTGTTACAGAAGGAAACCACATGATCTCAAATTCCAATTTTGGATTCAGATGACTGAAGAAATGTATTGTGCAATTCATAGTAAAGTAGGCAGCTCTTTTAAAGAAACGAACAAAAAAACACAAATACCACCAGAGGAAATTTATTTAAGTGACACAGAGAATGAGTGTTTCATTGCCACATTTTTATACTCAATTAAAAAAAGTTTACTTGCACATTGTATTTTTGTTTCTCATGCTCTCCAACCAAAAAAGCCTGTCATATCTGCCTGAACTACAACATAAAAAAAGACTTACTGCATACCTACATCCAAAACTTACTTGTATTGTTCACTTAAAATTAACAGAATAAATACATTACTTTTTATAAAGATACTGATTAAAGAAGTTTACTTTTCTTTTATGGTGTTAAAATTGCAGTACTTCTTTGAAGCTGAAATGTTGCAAGGAAATAAATTTATTTTTGTTGGTTTTGCAGCCCTATAAGCTGTAATCATGGAGAAAAATAATGTAAAAAGCTTTGGTTTAAATATGAAAACAGTGCTCTGATACATATAAATTAAACAGTAAAACTTATGGGTTTTTCTTATTAAAGTGTGAACACAAATGTCAACACTTAAAAGGTGGTTTGTTTTGTTAGGTTTTTTTTTAATAGAACTTTTGGCCTCTACACAGTTGTACTTAAAGCAACAGTAATTAATGAATTTTGTTTACTTTTATGTATGAAAAGAACTGCTTTCATACCACATCTGAACAAGCTGGTTTTACAATGGCTTTTTTAAATGTACAAGTACCTTATTAGAAAAATTCTATGTATTTCTGGCAGTGGCAGTTTGCAGTTGGTAGTTTTTCAATATGGATTTAAATCAAATTGTTAGTTACAGTATTTCTTGTGTACAAAGCAGACGTGCATGCAGTTGGAAAATTATATATGCAAAAGAAATAAATTTTAATTAAAACTTGCCTTCCAGACTATTGCTCAGCAAAGTAATAAATAGATGTTAAGGGCTTTTTGTGATGGCTCAGGAGTAACATGACCACATGACGTGAGAAGCAATGGCCTTGTATAAAGTTCTGGTTTGCTGAGAACATTAACTACATTAACTTTTTATTGGTAGACTGTCAGATCAGGTGGTCCTTCTGAAGGTATCAGAAAGCAGAATAAAAGCAAACATCAAACATATTTCTTTTAACAGATTTCTCTGTATATTTTAGTGTTAGATTCAGTTATAGTACATACTCATTTCATCAAGCGAGATGGGGACCTGACATTCACATATCTGAGAGAAGCTTTTTCTGGTAAGGAATTCATGACGGAGATTATAGCTTAAATTTAGATGAAATTGTAGTAGGTGGAGAATATCTTCTGGAATAGGAGAAAAATTGTACAATGTACATCTCAGACTCCCCGTCAGGCTTAAAAAGAAGATTATAATCTAGCCTTGCTTTTTCATTTTTCTTTCTTTCAAGTCGAAATCTTTTATCAACGTTGCCAAAATACCTGTTTGATCTTCCACTTAAAGTTCTGGTTGTCAGTAATAATAAGCTGGTCTCCATTCCAGAAGAAATTGGAAAGTTGAGAGATCTAATGGAGTTGGTAAGTACAATTGTGAACCATTTTACTAAGTAAACTTAAGCTATAAGCAATTTATTTATAGTTAAAGAAAACTATAAATTAATAATTTTTTAAACGTAGAACTAAAAAATATAAATTCAGTTACTGCTTTTTCTTAGTGTTTGAGCTCAAATTAGAGGTGTGATATATTGTAGAGTTTAAAAAATGGGGTTAAACATAAATCAGTATGTTGGGTTAACTAACGCTTAATGAGTTCATAAGTAAAATTGCTTGTCAGATTATTTCATTTGAGTCCCTTGCTTGTATGTTGTTAAAAATGGTGAATTTTTCTGTTTATCTTCCTCACAGTAATCATAATTCTATTTATTTTTCTTATATGTTATCAGGAATCTTCTTTCCAGCTGAAGAGTTCATCTTTATTTACTCTGTATTCTTATACAAGTTATGCCATTCAATCATTGTTGTCTTGTTCTGTTGTGTGGTGGTTTTTTTTTTCCTTCTTTCCCCATTTCTGCTATTCCTTTATTTTGACTGGGGTGAGTAGAATGATGTGTGATATTCACAGTTTATGCGTCTATGCAATGTGATTTTATCCTATGGCATACTAAAGTTTTGTGCTTTGTCATCCATTACTTTCTCTGTATTTAATATTCTGGGCTTTTCTGATCATTACTCCGTGTTAAGCTCATGTGTTTTGGGGAACTATGCACAATTATTCACCAACCTAGCACTTGGACTAGGTCTGATTTTTTTTTTTTTTTTTTTTTTTCTTTCCCCAGTATGTATGATTTCTTTGGTCATTGCAAGCAATCTTTATCCTGTTTCCACAGTAGATGTGGATCTCCAGATGCCCTGGAGATTTCTTTTAACATGACCTAGTTTCTGAGCTATAAATCAACATTCTCTTTTAATTTATAAGTAATATGAGATACTGTGAATGTTTGTGAGGCTTTTCTAGTGGCTTTTCCCTCTACTCTTTGGTGAGAAATTCTTTATGCTCACTTCAAGTCGTAGGATTTCAAGGTGGGATCACTGCTCTTGTTTACAGGAGGTGGATGTTTTTCAGAATTGCAGTTGTGGTATTTTTGGCTTATTTTTCAAAATTGTCAAACCTAGAATGTGTGCTTGATAACACAGATTAAGGCCATACTAGACAGTTTCATTCCAGTACCTGTGTTATACCTGTTTAGAACATAAGTAATATATATACATTAAAAAAAAAAAAGTTGACAACTAAGCCACACACTAGAAAGATGCTTTTAGGAAGGGAATCCCATCTTAAATTTGGTGATGTGGACAGAGAAGAACTTGCGATAGAGACACAACAGTTGATTCTAAGCAGCCTGTACATTCGGAGACATCCAGCCATGTGCAGACATCATGGTTGCCAAAAGTAGATGAGCAGTGCCTAAGCTGAAGCTCTGGAAGTGTGTAGTGGAGAAGGAGGCTGGATTTGTCTGGTTAAGGCCTGGCTTCTGGTTACTGACTCAGCATGCCTTTGAAATCAGCTCCCAGTTTTTCATTAGATAGATAAATATCCATCATTGTTATCTAGTCTGGGAAACTAGTCTCTGAAGTCAATTTTATTGAATTGGTAATAAAAAAAGGTTAGAAACGGTCCTATCAATGTGATTGTTGACTCAGTCTGGACTACATAGATAAATGTTAAAATTAGTGGCAGAAATAGCTGTAGTGTAGTCTGTGTTCACTTGGTGTCACCCTCCAGTGCTTGTATCCAAAATGTTGGTGAGCCTGCTATTGCTCTTCGTAAATTTTTAGTTGCACGGATTAGTTCAAGGTTTTTTAAGGAAGAAAAATTTTTATAAAAGGAGCAGAATGCAAATCATTTGCCAGCAGTAGCACAGGAAGTTTTTAACTGATGTGGGAACTACAGCAGGAACTCCTGATTCCTAGGCTACAGTTCTAACCTGAAAACTGGTCTTTCATCATTCATTGGTTAAACTTTTTGAATTGAGTTTCTGAAACATGAATCACTAAATATTGAAGAAACAGCAAGATCTGTTATGGTACTTCATAATTTGTGGGGGAAGAAAAAAAAGATAGGATTTCTTTTTTGTATAGTATGCTTTATAGTAGTTTTGATAGCAGTTTTCTTTTGTTTAATTTCATTTAAGATGTTCAGTTAATTTATTAATTATATCTTTCTTAGGATATTAGCTGCAATGAACTTCAGGTTCTTCCCCAGCAGATAGGAAAACTGCAGTCACTTAGAGAATTAAACATAAGAAGAAATAATCTCCATGTGTTGCCAGATGGTAAGCTGCTAGTCTTCATTTCTTTGATGTAGGTAAATTAGGTAAAGTGTTAAGAAGATATGTGATTTTTTTTTTTTTTTTGTTTCCCCCAATGCAGAATTGGGAGACCTTCCCTTGGTAAAGCTGGATTTTTCTTGTAATAAAATTACAGAAATTCCAATTTGTTACGGAAAGTTACGTCACTTACAAGTTATAGTTTTGGATAACAATCCAATGCAGATACCACCAGCACAGGTTAGTATTAAAGCATTCTAGTTCAGAAATTTGCACTAGGATCTTAAGAAAGAGGAAGCTGTTCTAAGTTATATCAATCAGGTTTTCATTTTTTTTAGCTGTATTTCTCCTAGTGTGAAGTTGTGGGTACAAACTCAGTGTAGAAATTATTTGTTGGGGTGCATTTTCAAAAGACATGCTATGTAATTAAGATTTTTTTTTTGTTCGTTTGTTTCCCAACAGATATGTTTAAAGGGTAAAGTACATATATTTAAATTCCTCAGCATTCAGGCATGCCTCAGAATAGACAAAAAACCAGATTCTTTGGATCTTCCATCATTAGGTAAACGAATACCCTCCCAGCCACTCACAGACAGGTGAGTGGTGGGGTTTTTGTTTTATTTTACTTTAGCATTTGCTATGAAGTGATATATTTATTACAGATAATAGCTGTAATTTCAATACTTTAATTGTTCTGTATTTAGGAGTCATAGTATTTATTTTCTAAGGTTGTGTTACTGGAAGCTTAATTGGCTCATCTGAGTTGTTATGAAAAATTTTCATTGTACTTGCTAAAGATCTGGAAATCAGAACAAAGTAGTATTTTAAATTCATTTATTGGAAAACTCAGCTATTTATTTCCCAAACAGATATGTCAAAACAGTACATGAGAAGTTCCTATAAATGTCCTGAATACAGAGTTAGTCTGTTGGATGGAAAGTCTGCCTTCCACATATATATTAAGGGAAGCTAACTTAAAAGACAGTGAAATAGCATGGAATTTTTTATTAGATTAGTCGAGGTCAAAAAGTGCAGAATATTTTGTTGGACTTTTGTACTGAGTACCTCTTGAGAAATTAAATGGGAATGCTTTTGTATTTTCTGTCTTTAGTTGGCTTACCATTGGAAACTATATGGAACAATACTCTTTTTTTTGCCGATTTTCTTAAAATGTCAAGTGCAACTTGTGCATCTCTGTGTTCAAGGCTGAAGGAAGGATGAAAGTTAAGAATAAAGCTTACACAGAACCATCTGAACCATCAGATTCAGTCCATGGTCTTGGTCTCGGGCAACTGTGCCATAGGGAATTAGTCCACAGTGTCTGTAGATCGCTTCTAAATGCTTCTAAAAACTGTGGTCCACAACTGCTCCCCAAAAGCTTCCACAGAATTAAGGCCTAGAACTAAAATGTATTGCAAAGGAACAAGGTCATGCGTATTACCACTGTACATCATATTTGTAGAAGTGAGAACTTGTTTAATTAAACTTTCCAGATAATGTTACTGCCCTGGTTTCGGCTGGGATAGAGTTAAATTTCTTCCTAGTGCTGTATTTTGGATTTAGTATGAGAAGAATGTTGATAACACACTGATGTTTTTAGTTGTTGCTAAGTACCCTGCTAGTCAAGGACATTCAGTTTAAAAAAAGACAAAACAAAACAAGTGTTGGGAGGGAGCATAGCCAGGACAGCTGGCCCAGCTGGCCAACAGGGTATTCCATACCATGTGATGTCACGCTCAGTATATGAATGGTAGGCATGTTCCAGGAAGTAGCGATCGCTACTTGATTATCGGTCAGCGTGGGTGGTGAGCAATTGCATTGTGCATCACTCATTTTGTATATTCTATCATTATTATTATTATTGTTATTATTTTCCCTTTTCTGTTCTATAAAACTGTCTTTATCTCAACCCACAAGTTTTTTCTCACTCTTACCCTTCCGATTCTCTCCCTGTCCCATTGGGGGGGCAGGGGGAGTGAGCGAGCGGCTGCGTGGTATTTGGCTGCCTGCCAGGTTAAACCATGGTACTTACGTTGTAAACCAAGCTCCAGTGCACAGCTGGAAAACACATCCTGCTGATGCTGCCAATTTTATGTCTTCAAAAGGCATAAATTTGGAGGAAATATTTCATAGATATTCAGGCAGAGTTAAACCATTTTAATATGACAGTCTATTAGGGAATGTATATTTGCTATTAGTAGAAAACCATGTCTGCCAATAGAGTTCAAGGAATTGCGGTTTTTCAGAGGGAGCCTTCTCTTCTTAAGACAGTATTGTTGAATGAAATAGAACAATTCTAAAATTGCATAGATACAGAGAGACTACCGTAATTGATCATTTCCCCTTTAACTTTGCTTTGATACTTTTTTTCTTGAACAACTCTTACAGGAGATTAAGAATTTGTTCTCTGCACATGGGGCATTGTGCAAAAATTCTGTATCAGCAACTGTAGATGAGTATAGAGAACATATTGTTAAAAGGATGTTTATTTCCTTTTAGAAAACTGAAACTACTGTTTCTTTTATTCCTGTGTGGTTTTTTTGTGTGTTGTTTTTCTTAATGTAGCATGGAGGACTTTTATCCCAATAAAAATCATGGACCAGACTCTGGCATTGGAAGTGATAATGGGGATAAAAGGTTGTCCACAACAGAAGTGAGTATTTTTCTCTGTTGAATTTGTGTAATTTCTGGTTTTTCTTTTTTTTCCTTTGTATTTTGTATCATTTGAGAAATATTTAACTAAGTTGCATTTAACATTCTTCTAATATCTGTACAGTTGAGTTTAAACCATTAGATTGCCAGTATCAGACACAAATTATTTACATATTGCTTTGACTTTTCTGGTTAAGGCTCATTCCAATCCAAATTTCATACATTTTAAAACTGAATTCTGACCTAAGGAATTTTTTGGATCCTTGTGTGAAGTGCATAATCATTTTCTACACAAAGGACAAAATTTATTTGAAACTTTCTTTTGTTATTAATGAAATGAATGTACTTAAGAAAATGAAAGTTTATTTGGAGTAAACTTGTGTTGTATATGTTAGTAATCCTCATTGTTGTTTAAATTTTAATAAACTGCTGGATGATCTGCTAGACTTAGTGATGAACAAAAATACCTAAGTTATCTGTGTATTTGTAGAAATCTAGATTAAGGACCTGTAATTAATAAATGATGTCAAAGCTGAATAGTGTGGAACAAAAGATTTTTGAAACTTAAAGAGAATTATTACAAATGCAGAGTGATTGTTAGTGGGAAAACTGTAGGACAAGGAGTACTACTAGCTGGGTTTTTTAAGAAAATTCCAAATGACTAGAAGTAAAGCTGTGATTTTTTTTTTCTTTTTTTTTTTTCCAGTGGTCTAACAACGGTCAAAGTAGTGGGAGGCTTTAGATAAGAAAGTACCTAAGTACAGTTTTCTTAGTCCGCTGACCGGGGCTGGACTGGACCTCTTTGAACAAAATACTGTATTTCAGTATTATATTATATACTGAAGAGTTGTCTGTCACTCCCTAAACTATGATTCTCTTAAACCCCCTTCCGACCCCCCCAAAAAAACCCCACCTGACTTGATGTTACTTTTACTGTCCTGGGAGCCATCCCTCATGATAGGGTCAGTTGCACTATGATTTGTGAGTTCTTAGCAAATCATATAATAATGTAATTTATAGTAAGTTCTGTATTAAATATGTCTGTCTTTGCAGCCATCTGATGATGATACAATCAGCCTTCACTCCCAGGTATCAGAATCAACAAGGGAACAGACATTAAGGAATGACAATCATGTAATGGGAAGTAAACTCGATCCACAGAAAGGTAATATCTGTTGTGCATCTGTCATTTTAGGTAACAGAAATACTTCTGCTTAGGTAATCTAATATAAGAAAAATTGCACAAAATGATATGATCACATGTTGGCATTTTATTTTCATCGTTTCAGAAAACAATGTAGTAATCACAAAGAGTCAAGGCAAAAAAGAAAGAAAAAAGATTATTTCCAGCTCAAGGAGACATGATTTCATTGTTTTATCTTTATCTGACATTTTTCTGATGTTTTTAATAAGTACTTATCTCTCTCAGGAATAACATTTAGTTGAGAGAACTGTTTAATATCATCTTTTTCATTCTTCATCAATCCTCACTAGACCAGGAGGTGTATGATTACATTGATCCGAATGCAGAAGAGGGAGCTGTTCCTGAGCAAGGAGATGTACAGATTGGACCATTGCTGTCTTATATCAAGGTAGCATAGCTTGACAAAACAAAAAACTGTTCAACAGGCTTGCTTTTTTTTGAATTCCGAGTCTAAGTTTATTTTTCATTCTGTGTAAGGAACGGGGAAAACATCCTGAGAAATCCCAGAAAATAGAACAGAATGAGGACTGGGGAGATGAAAAAAGGTAAATCTTCTTGATCCTTTTTGGGAAGGTTTTACTGACAGTGGAGGGTGAGGGTGGTTTTGTTTTAAGCTCCTTGCATATGGAGGAAAGAAATCTCATACTGAACACAGAGTGCTCCTTCTTAGACAGAAAATAAGCTTATAGGAAGCGCTTCTTAGTTATTTCCAATAATGTAGCTGCTTCTGTGTCTTGCTTTACTGAAGTCAGGCAAGTCACTAATGTTTAATTTTTCAGACTTCAGAAAGAACAGCTACTGGCTGAAGATGATGATGAACTCAAAGAAGTTACTGACTTGAGAAAGATAGCAGCTCAGTTACTGCAGCAAGAACAAAAACACAGGTACTACAGTATTAGTTAAGATAACTTGTGTTACAATTAGTTTATTGTTTAACCTGCCTTACCCAAAAGCTCTTGACACCTTATCATTTTGAAAACAGTTTTGTAGAACAGCTACTGGCTGAAGATGATGATGAACTCAAAGAAGTTACTGACTTGAGAAAGATAGCAGCTCAGTTACTGCAGCAAGAACAAAAACACAGGTACTACAGTATTAGTTAAGATAACTTGTGTTACAATTAGTTTATTGTTTAACCTGCCTTACCCAAAAGCTCTTGACACCTTATCATTTTGAAAACAGTTTTGTCCAGCTGTTAAACAGTTAGTTCAAGATACCTGTCCTGCGTTTCTCTTCATAAAATTGCTGTCTAGAGAAGCAGTGATATACCTCCTATGGAGAGGAAGAGATGAATGTGAAAGTCTCTTGATTTCCTGGTTTGATGTATGTTAACTTTTTTTATACTTTTTTCCAAAGCAGTATACTTAAGTAGGCATGGTTAATGCTCATATAAGTAGATTATTGGTAACATGTTAAAATGACTTTTTATTAGTTTGTATGAGTTACGGAACCTGCATACAGTTTGTTTGTGACTGGTTATTTTTATTCAAATATGAAGTAATTTAGGTGGTACTTCTTCCATTCAGTCTGATGCGAGATATAAGTTTCCTATAGACCGAAGAGGAAACTTGTTCAAACACTATACTGTCAAATGACAGAGCATGTATATATTATAAATATATATAAAAATAAATAACTGGAACAGTGTAAGTTCATCCTGATCAACTGCCTGACTTTCTCCACTTCATGTTGGGCATCACAACAGAATGATTCTTGAAAAGGAGCTGTAGGACAAGCAGATTAAAGGAATGTAATAGAACAAGATAACTCTGTAGAAGGAAGAGCAGGAAGGAATACCTGGAGTTGCATCAGGCTAGTGTAGGAATCGTGTTCTCTCTGGTTTCTTTACCAAGCAGGCAAATAACCAGTGAGGTACTTTGGCGAGCGTAAGCTCTTTCCTGAAACGTAAAAGCTGTAGTTAATAGTAGTTCATTAACTAAAATAGTTCAGTAGTCGTTCATTATCCCACAATAGTGGATTTAACTTCATACCAGCTTAAATACTATTTTTGTTTCTTTTTGAATTTCTGTGTAATGATGAGATTCTGCACACCTGTTTTTCTTTTAAGATAGTTGAAATACATGTGAAGCCCTTAGAGAAATTGATATCCTGATACTATGAATTGCAGAGCTTTAAAAATTCACCAGCGTTTTATATTAGTTGAATGTAATAGCAGTGGCGGGGGGGGGGGGGGGGAGGGGGGGGAGGAGGTAAAATAGGTTTTACTTACAACTCCATGCAGTGTGTTTAAGAATTGATGTTCACATTGGGAAGGGAAAAATAAGAATGAAATCTTAATGCTAATACATTCTTATTACCAAAAGTATTGCAAAAAAGACTAAGAATGCTAAATTTTCTTGTATTAATTTATTAATAAAGAGAGAATAAGTGTGTTTTTCTAATATTAGGTTTTTATATGACGGTTATTTGTATTGCATGTGGGTCTTGTTTGATTAGTTTTAATATTTCCTGGTTATCTATTCATTTGAAATCCCAAGCCACTCCTCTTCTGAAGTACTGCAGCTTAAATTTTACTTGTCATATGTTGTTGTATCTTAATGCAGCAATCTTGCTAATGGTTCTTGAATTGTTCAGACATATGCAATCTTATTAGTTGTTAAGTTTTACTTCTTAGTTTAGCATTTAAATTTTAAAGCTTGCTTATGTATCTTTAAGTACATGAGGGCAAAATCACCTCTGGTACAAAATTTAGCCCAGATTTTGAATCCGTAGTTTTGTGAATTTATAATTTCTTGTCGTAAAAAGCAATAAGAATAATATTTAGAAGTTTATTGAAGATACTTCTGTGTTTATTTGTGGAAAATATGTTCAATCTGAGTAAACAGAATCCTCAGAAAAGTGAGCATCACGAAATAATTTCTTACTAATCATATTTCTGTTCGTTCAGTGTGGGGTTTTTTTAAATATTATGCAGTCTCTTTTCTTTTTGCTTGCTATGCTAATGACTTCCCTGTCCTCTCCCACCAACCTATCCTGCTTCCTTCTTCCGTCTTTGGCTTTGGTGTACATGAAATATGAATACAGACGAAGGCCATTAAGCTATAGAACTTCATTCAGTGAAAAACTCTTCCAGAGGACAAGGGCGGCAGGACGTGCATCAAGGTATAAAGTGTTTGTAGAGCTTCAGATTTCCAAAGTTAAAATGTGGATGAAAGAGTTTTGGCTATTTCTTGAACAAAAACAGAGTAAAGGGATTGGATAAATTAGCCTAAGATATTTTGTTATCAAAAATAGACTGCAATGTGTTTATTCTTTTTTTAAGATGAAGTACTACTTAAGGAAAATATTTAATTAGGCAACTCTCCAAAGAATATTTAAATGAATCCAAACCTAGAAACATAGTTTTCTGTACCTTCGGCGTGCTTTCTCTTCAGTTTCTTCTTTTTTAATATATAGTACCTCAAGTACAGAACGTCAGGCAAAAGTGTTTTGGGTTTTTTTGGTTTTTTTTTTATTTAAGATATCTTGGTTTTAAAGTGATCATTTTCAAATTAGCACGACCAGGGACGATTTGTTTTGCATTTGACAGCCATGAGGGAAGCATTTGCAGATACACAAACCTCACAGGTAACAAGAAATCTGGAATGGGCTGTGTAGACTATCCTCAGACATGCAGATGATGAATCAAGTGATTCCAGACTTTGTTACCGTATCAACTGAAGCTCTGTAACTTACTCTGGATACTCCTGACCTGTTTCAAAAGAAAGTAAAATAGCTTAGATTAAATAATCTTCATTAGTACCAAATGAGCCTGTTTCAGTTTACATCAAAGTTAAGTATGGGTTCTTAGCTGACAGCAGTGACTTCCTAAAGCTGTCTAAACCCCTGAGAGTACAGCTTACGATCACAAAGCAGAGCCATATATGAAGACAGTAGACTGCTCCTGAATGAGTTTAAAATCCATCACTTTTTTCTCACTGTAAAAGATTTCTAGTGTCTTCATACACTTTATAGATTCTAGGTAGGGCTTTCTTGTTTAAACTTGAAGATAGCTAACCTTAAAATGGCATTACCATTGTTCACTTCATTTGTGTCCCTTAATCATGATGTTATGTTTGCTCAAAATATGAAGGTATAAGTGACTGAGAAGAGATTCCACTTTTTAAATTCTCAAACTTTAGAAAATATTTTCCAATATCACAATTGGTCTTGCCATTGCCTTTCCCATCTAGTCAGCAGTTTGGAGTAGGTGTTATGCTTGCATGATATAAAACTAGAAAAATGAGTCACAGTGTTGTTTTTTGAGTTTAATATATATAAATACATGTCATTGTGTATGTGCTGTTGGGTAATTTCAAAGTTTGTATGAGTTTTAGAACCCTTTCAAAGTAATAGTTTGTATGCTACATCTGTAACAACAGAATTTTTGTGGTTAGTAGGAACCATAAGTAGGAAATTAATTGCAATATTAACACAAGTGTCTTATGCACGTTCTTACTTAGGGATTCAGTATGACCATCAGTAAGTAATTGGCCTCACAATTGATCTGCCTAATAAAAAAAAAAGTTTTGGAAATAATGAGGTGTAGTATGAATGGCAACAGTTGCAGGAATCTTTGCACCATTAACACCACACTTAAAAGAGCGTGACTTCTGAATATAAGCTACTTGTACTTTGATTTTGCATACTCTGCTTTGCATTGTATTTCCTGGAAGACAGTTCTTAACACGGCTACAGAGATTTCCCTTCCCCCTCCCTCCCCGCCACTTCCGGCTGCACAAATGATTTTGCCATGAATTCCTTAGTCTGCAATTTAGTAAATTCAGTTTAATTTTCTTCACCATTTTCTTTAAAAACTTTCAAGTTCCTTATTCCACAGGAAATTCAGATTTCTCCTACTGGACTAGTAACTGCTAACCTGACAGATACTGAACTTGCTGTTACTTCCCCATCAATATTCTTCAGTTTTAAACAGGAAGTTTCAAAAATGATTGTTTATGTTTGTTTTTGTTTTACAAAGTATAAAAATATACTTTGTTTATAATAAACTTAGTTTATAATAAACTCATACATTAATTGTATACACGTTTCATAGAAACAGCATAGTTGAAAAATGTGTGTGTATATATGTTTGAGTTAGCTTGAATAGTTTTTCCTTACATTTCATGTAATAATTATAAAAAAGAAACGGCCTGTGTTACGTGCTATCATTGAATTTACACTGATGATGTCAGTTTTGGTGTAAGTGTTGCTGACTCAAATTTCTTTTTTTTTTTTTTTTTTTTCCCCAAAGTTCATTCTATTGCAATGATCACATCTTGCTACAAAGTCTCTCTGAATTTCTCATTGCTTTCAGTTGAAGACATAAGGCTAATTTAAATGGGAATTCTCTCTAAAAATTAATGACTTTAAAATAGCATGTTTATATTATGGTCTGATAACCTATTCTCTGAATTTTTTTTTTTTAACACTTTTTTCAGGCTATAGTATAATTTAATTCTGGAATGTGCCCTCAAAATTAAGTTTCTGAAGACAAAATATAGGGAGCAGATGTTGCAGACTGTGAATGCTGCAGACTGTGTTGGTTTACAGGCTTAACTTCTCATAATCCCGTTAAATTGAGATTCACACAGTGAGAGATTTAAAGTACAAATGAGATTACTGAGCTCAAAGTTACCACAATAATCAGAGAAGTCTGAAAATCACCAATCATTTAATGTTAATGGTTGTACTGCCCTATTTAATGATAATAAATATAAAAAGGTGCCTACTGCTTTACTTTCTTCCATTGAATAGTTGGTGTTCTTCTAATTCTTTCTGATTCTTAATACATTCTAGTTCTCTATATAACTCAGTGTAAATATACTTTAATCACAGTTCTGCACATGAAGTCAGTGTCGAAGTGTAGTATTACTACCTCCAAGAATTCAGAATTATTCATTCTAGTTACTGTTCAACATGACACTTACTTGAAAACATTTAATTTTAAATGTTACTGATAGTTTTGTTATTTTTCACACCTTAAACATCCATAATAGCTCATACCTTCTTCCTGTGTGTGCGCACACATCTGGTATGTGTTGTTCCAGATGAAAAAACATTTCTGAATATCTATGTAAGTTTAGGCTTTTTTGACTGTTTACCATTTTAAAAAATGGAATTTCCGTTGGTTTATTTCTGCGTTAGGCTTTTCATTTAGTTCTTAGCCTGTGTTTCTCCATTTTCCACCTCTCCTTTTTCCCCTGCGTTTCCCTTGCACTTGCAGTGTTTCTTACTCAGCTACCTTCTTACCTGCTCCTACTGACTGACTTCTTGTGCTCAGTCTGTGTCTCATTTCTTGTCTGCTTTAGATTGACTATCTTCTGTCTTCTAATTTTAGTGAACAATGGGGCCTTCTGTGTTGAGGGCAGCATAACTTTACACAGGTGTGAGATCAGTTGAAATAGTATGTATTTAGGGAGGAAAAATAAGAGGAGACTTCATTTTGGTTTGAATGATCAAGTTTTACTTCCTTAAAATTCAGAACTTGAAATATTTCAAGAGCTGGAAACAATATTGTTGATTTAGATGGAAGCAGGATTGGGCTTGGATTTCATATGTGGACACACATATTCTAATTTTATGGAAAATGTCACCTTAATGTTCAAAACTTTTTATTTACAGGAAATGTTACGCAGTGAAAGTAACATATATTCTAAGAAAAAGGTTTAGCTACAAAGCTGTTGAATAAATGTTTGGTTTTTTTTCTTTCTAGGCTTCTTAATCATTCAGTTTCAGTAAGCACAAGGAACAGGCCAAAGCAGCCAATGGAATCTGAAAAATGGTATTGATATACTTAAATGTGTCACAGCTTTCAATATTTTATTAATTTAATTTTTATATTTATTTTGTGTTGCTACTGCCATCTTCTGTCATAACGGTTTTAGCTCAAAATGAAATAGAAGCTACCCAAATAACCTGCTCTTGAGCATCTTTATTGCAGATAAAAAATAAAAATCTGTTCTTTTGAGCCTGTAGGAAAGTTGATGTAGTCCAGAAACTAATCTGTGGGTCTGATTATGGCAGCAATTCAGGTGCCTAAAGATAAGCATTCAGTGGTGTTTTAGACATCCAGTTCCAGTCCAGAAGGTCATATCTTCCGTAGGTAACAGTCCTGTGCAGATGTGCTAGATCCTGTGTTACATAAAAGGGCACTGTAGCTATGCTTAGGCATTTAAATTTTCCTGCCTGGCAGTCCTTTTGCACTTTTAAGAGCTGTTGGAAAAGTGTTGCTGGGAGTTCAGCCTGCAAAACCTTTACTGTTTGTGGAGGATGTGTCAATCAGGAATCCATTGTCTGCAGGAGCTGTACTCTTCTGCTCTTTCTTTGAATTAAAAAAAAAAAACCAACACAAACCACAAACCAACAACAAACAAAAATACCCAGAGCCTTGTCTTTAGGAAATTGGGAAATCACAGCTTCCCATTTCGGACTACATGGGTGAGAGAGAACTTAGCAAGTTTTCAGCCCTCCCTTCCGTAAGGAATCCTAGATCAGTTCTTTTATTCAGTTTGGTCAAGAAATAATCTATTTTAATTCTTAAGCTAAAGAGGGAGAGCTTACTGGCAGCCTCCTAATGAGGATTTGAACGATGGCTTTTGTGATTTTTTTGCGAGCCCCATAGTTTTCTAAAATCTGTACCTTCAAAAGAATCTGTATCTGTTTGTGTCCAGACCCTAGTTTGGCTCTGAATCTCAGACAAAAGCCATAACTGCTTTTGGTGTTGCTAGAGAGCACTGGGGGTGGTGACAGCTCTCTACAGTTCAGGTACACATCAGGAAAGCATTTACTCGAACAGACAAAGGCACACAGGGTAGATATTTCAATGTGATGCATCCTATTTTGGCTATCTTCTCTCTCATTGGTATCTGTGGTTTTAAAGAGCTAGTCGTACACGTCCTGTGGCTATATGAACCATGCTGCAACTATTATTCATTTGCATTTGGAACTTTCTGGTCCTTGGTTACTTAACATACAGTTTCTGTTCTTTGTCACCTATGGTAGTGTACAGCTATGTTAGGCCTTCATATTATAAGGTAATCCAGGAAAGGTTAAATTTACCTTTCCCTGTTTTGTTAACGAAACAGAAACAGTTCTGAGACTTAAAAACAAAACAAAAAACCCCCAAAACCAAACAAAAAACTGCCCCCCAAAAAACCCCAACCACCCCCCCACCTGCTTGTGTGAGGTGTGCACACAAGATAAGGTAGATGTTGCAGGCTATTTGTTGTTTTATTGCACTGATATATAGGAACCCAAATCACACACTGCATAAGGAACATGCAAAGAGAGTAGAAAGACTGTTACATCCCTAAAGAATTTACACTTATAGAACATGTAATAGTTAATAGATGCATATGTATCAACAGCAAACTCAACTATTTATTGCAGCAGTTTCTGCAATTCTCAACTTATCAAGCTATTGGACACAATTCAGACAAATTTCCTATGCCTAACAGCTTTAAAAAGTAGCATTATTGGTTTGAGGCAAACAGAAAGAAAAAGGAAAGAAAAGGAATACAAAGTAGCAGAAGCTAAGTGCTTTTAGGATTTATTATAATTGCTCATGGTGTTATGTCCTTCTTGCATTCAATCCCCAGCTGTTAGCCTTTTTGTATACTGCACAGCTTCTAAGCCAGCTGTCAGAATGTGAATGAAATGGTTGCTGGTAAGATCATAGAAGTGAATTTCACAGAAAGATTTAGAAAGAAAAATTTGAAGTGACACCAAATCTAAACATTTTTATTTTCCTGAGAACTTTCAATAATCTCAGGCAGTCCATGTTCCAGCGTGTTTGCAGTTTCACTGTCCCATCTTGCAACGTTTTTCCCTTCCCTGTCAGTATAAGCTTCTACTTTACTGTATAGATCTAACATTGAAATGAAGCATATGAATCTTCTGAAGGTTTAAGAACAGGTATTTTGTCAGCTTTGAACAAAATGTTTCATTGGTTGCTTTGAGAAACAAAACATTAGTAATCTCTAAAGATCAACATGCTTAAGAAAAAGCTTTATCTGAGTAAAGTACTATAGTGTGGAAGACCTATTGTTAGAATATGGTAAAGAAGAGTGAAATATGATTTGAGATTTTAGTCAAATGGTCATACTTTTTAGCCACATTGTGACATCCTTATACAGGTAGCCAAAAAATACTGTAGTGCTGCAGAGAAGCTGCTTTTTAGTAGTGTTCACTTTTTTATATTTTAAAGTAACTTGGTTTTAAAGTACACAAAAAAGCAGTAAATTTCATGATGCCTCTCATCTTAATTTTTAGTGTCTCAACAGATGAAGTGAATTCCCCAGTGTTCCCATACAGCTGGCAGGTAAATAGTCAAATGTAAATGTGGGAGCTTCATATTTGAGTGATTTTTTTTGTTTGTTGGTTTGGTTTTTTGTTTTGTATTTCTGGCAGAAAACTTTTATACATTCATATGGTTGCTTACATGCGTAGTTATTGTATGTATGTAATTGTGGTGGAAAATATAAAACCTTCGAAGCACTTATGCTTCAAGATAATTTGACTTGTATGTAATGGAGGCTGTTTTCTTTTAAGAGCATATGGTACTAGCTTTATGGTCTTGAAACTAATGAGACATAAGTTTTACACTTGGTTTTAGTATTTCTTTACATATAAATTTTATTGCCTCACCATAATGTATGAGGTTTAACAAGACCAAGTGCTG